GCCCAAAGGTAACCATGCAGTACACATAGGTAACAAGGAAGTGCCCATAGGGAACGAGGAAGTGCCCATAGGGAACCAGGAAGTACCCATATGGAACCAGAAAGTACGGATTGGGAATAAGGAAGTACCCATTGGGAACCATGAAGTAACATAGGGAAATAGGAAGTGCCCATAGGGAACCAGGGAGTACACAGAGAATGAGGAAGTAACATAGAGAAATAGGAAGTACACAGAGAGAACAGGAAGTGCCCATAGAGAACCAGGAAGTGTATATATGGAACACGGAAGTATCCATATAGAAAGAGTAAGTGTCCATAAAAAACCAGGATGTACCCATAGGGAATCAGGAAGTACCCATGGGGATCCAGGAAGTACCTCTGGGGAACAAGGAAGTGTCCATAAAGAACCAGGATGTACCCATAGGGATCCAGGAAGTGTCCATAGGATACCAGAAAGGACCCAAAGGAAACCAGGAAGTATGCATAGTGAAAAAGGAAGTACCAATAGAGACCCAGAAAATGCCCATAAGGGAACAAGGAAGTATGCACAGAGGAGCAGGAACTGTCCATAAGGAACAAGGAAGTGCCCAAAGGGAACAAAGAAGTGCCCATTAGGAACAAAGAAGTGCTCATAGGAAACAAGGAAGTACCCATAGGGAACCAGAAAGGACACATAGGGAACCAGGAAGTATGCACAGAGAAGCAAGAAGTGTCCATAAGGAATCAGAAAGTGCCCACAGGGAACAAAGAAGTGCCTATTAGGAACAAGGAAGTGCCCATAGGGGGACAAGGAAGTGCCCATAGGGAAACAAGGACACATAGGGAACCAGGAAGTATGCATAGGAAACCAGGAAGTATGCATAGGGAACCAGGAAGTACCAGAGGGAACCATGAAGTAGACATAGGGAACTAGGAAGTACCCATTAGGAAAGAGGAAGTAACATAGGGAACCAGGAAGTATCCATAAAGAACCAGGAAGTGCCCCTTAGGAAACAAGAAGTAGCCATAGGGAATCAAGAAGTAGATATAGATAACCAGGAAATATCCGTAGTGAACCAGGCAGTACCAGAGGGAACTAGGAAATAGCCATAGGGAACCAGGAAGTAGACATAGGGAACCAGGAAGTACCCCTTAGGAACTAGGAAGTACCAATAGGGAAACATGAATTACCCACAGGGAACCAAGAAGTGTCCATAGGGAACCAGGAAGTACCCTCAGGGAACCAGGAAGTGCCCACAGGGAACCAGGAAGTGCCCCTTTGGTCCCAGGAAACACCTGCTCACCTCGCGTGTGCGTCCAGCAGCCTCCGTGATGGCAGCCGCCACAGCACGCGCGGGAATGAACCCCCCACGACCACACAGCGGAGGCGCAGATCTGACCCGCGGGGCACATGGATGACCCGCAAACCCTGGGATGTCACTCCCACGGGGTCATGTGATGTGATGCGGTGCAGACCACGAGATGCGGGTGGTGCCGGGGGCCCAAGGTGCCCGTGGATCCGTGGCCAGAAAGGCGGGATCACTGGGCGGGATGACACCGCCATGACAACGGATGGGAGACGGGGTGGGGTTATAGTTGCCGTGGAGATGACTTCCTGTTGCGGCCTCAACGATGTCATCTCCTCTGATATTGACATCTGCACGTCCACTGGAGTGAGCAGGGCCTTAGCAGAACCGGAAGCAGAGAGGTTGTCGGGGGGCGGGCGGGCAATGACGTCACCCACACCTGTGATAACGATGATGTCATTTGTTGAATTCCGGACAACATCGCCAATGGCATCATCCATGGCAGAAGTGGTGACATCGCCGGCATCTGGGGTAGTGAGAGGCACGGTGGCACTGACGGTGTTCTCGGCGGTGACATCATTTCTCACGATGTCATCCCAACGGTTGACATCGCCGGCGGTCTCCTCCTTGAAAAAAATGGTGGCGGTGCCAGGTATGCGGTCAACCACGGGGTTGGGGCTCACAAGGTCATGGACGACCTCATGTTCAGTCTCAGTCATGACATCATCCAAGAAAGCACTGACATCAGTCGTGATACCCATTATGTCATCGGAGGGAGTGGTGACATCATTGGTCAAGATCGCAGTCACAGCGTCATCTGAGAACACAATGGCGTCACTGGTCGTGGTATGGGGCATTATGTCATCGTTGGTCGCTGCGATGACATCATAGGTTGCTGTCTTAGTCACAGCATCATTTGAGGACATGACAGTGATGTTTTGGACAGCCCCTGTGACCCTGCCCTGTCTCAGAGCCGTAACAGGAAGTGATGTCACTGACCAGGCATGATGGGCAGGGGAGGCAGAGAGCCCGCCCCCGTGGGTAACAACAACTTCCTGTTCCCACAACAGGCTCAAGGGGCTCACGGTCCCACGCCTCCTACCCGCCTTCTTGCCCAACTTCCGCCGAGGCGGAGTCACTTTCGTGGGCGGGGCCTCGGGGACAGGAAGCTGGAGTTCCTCAGGCCCCACAGGACCGGAAGTGGGGTGTGGGATTAAACGGTTTCTGTGTTGCAAACGCTTCCGCCCGCGCCTGTTTAGTGGGGTCACAGTGATGTGATCAGTGGGCGTGGCCGGGTTTTCCCCTGACTTGGAAGTGAAACTGGAAGTTGTCAGCAGAAATTCCCATGGCCGCTTCCGCCTCCTGCTCCCCTTCAGGTCTGGCGGGAAGGTGCTAACCGGACCTAATCGGAAGTCCCCACCCCGCGATGGCCGCTGCTCTGAGGACCCAGAAGCAGAAGCACTGGACGAAGTGCCCCACACAGAAAACTGCAATGGTCTCAACGGCTGGAAGTCGCCAGTCGCAGAGGAACCCGATTCCGAATCCGGCTGGAACCGGAATGTGGGGGATGAGGATGGAGCCTGGATAACATCATGGCGCCCAGAGAACCTTAGGGATGGGGCCTCCGCCGACTCTTCCTCCTCTGCCGTCTCCGCTTCCTCCTCCTCGGCGCTGGGGGCGGAGACGTTGGCGGCAGTAGCATTGGGGGCCACGATGATGTCAGTACCGTTGATGACGACATGGGAGCCGTTGATGCCGTCCCTGTCTATGACATCAGGAGTATTGATGACATCATAGAAGTCGATGAACTCGGTGGTGTTGGCAGCAGTGCTATTGGTGACGTCATAAGAGTGGGTGACCTGACCTTTGCCGGTGGCCTCACTGGTGAAGGTGACATTAGGAGCGTTAGCGATGTCAGCGCCTATGACGTCATAACTATCTCTGACATCAGCGATGCCATCAGGGTTTTGGGTGACCTGAACTAAGACACCACCGACTTCTGCGTTCCTCGTGGTGACGTCCATTTCCCCCCTCGCGGTGTCGTCCATTTCCCCAGCGACCACGGGGGCAGGGACAGGCACAGTCCCGATGACGTCACTTCCGGCCACGGTAAGGTTCCGGGCCAGGACTCGGGCGAGGACGTCAGCCCAGTGTGCCGGGCTGACGCGCGGGTTCGTCACGTGTACGCGCCTCACGTCCGCTACCGGTTCCCACATGTGCGGCTCCGGTCTACCGGGCAACAGGGAAGGGTCGAGTGACGTCACTTCGAGCGCGGCCTGATTCAGTTTTCGGCGTCTGAAGAGTGACTTCCGGTTCTGCTGTTTCTTGGTTTCTGCTTTCCGATCCGCATTGCCCACTTCCGGTTTCCCAGCTGTCAACTTCCTGCTTCGGGTCCGTGACGTCAGATTACTGCCTCGCCCATCATTGCCTCCTAAGTCCGGGGTTCTGACTTCCGGTCTCGCACGTATAAGGTCCTCGGGCTCCGCCCCCCAGGCTTCCTCATCGCCGTCGTCTCCGGTGACAACACCGCCAACATCATCACCTCGCGACTCGGAAACCACCGCGAGCTCCACGGCGAAGGCGTCGCTGCCGACTTGATTGACGGCCAGACACCGGAAGAATCCGGAGTCCCCGCCCCGCAACGGCGCCAGCACCAGACTTCCGTTCCCGTCCACGGCTGCGCCTGATGACGTGTTCACCCCACGACGCAGCAGACGCCCTCCAGGAAGCTCCCAGGCCAGGGCGGCGGCGCCCGAAACGAAGCAGGGCAGCGTCAACGCGGCACCCGGCGGCTTCTGCAGCGTCGCTGCGTCATCGCCGCGCAACGGACCCGAGCTCGACGTCACGAGCAGGCGCCGCACCGCCCGGTCCTGCGAGGCGCCGAACCCGACGGTGGCGACGCAAACGTAGCGGCCAGCGTCATCCGGCCGCGCCGCGCGGAGGAGCAGCGAGCCATCGCGCAGGATGGTGACATCGGAGGTAGGCGAGTGCCGTTTGCGCTTCCGCCAGGAGTCTGGCGCGGCTTCGCTGATGTCATCAACAGGCGTCCCAAAACTCCGCTTGTTTCTCAGGACACCACTGCGAGTCGACAGAATCCGTCCACTATGGCTGCGCCAGGCCCCTGGCGCTGCATCGCGAACGTCATCACCGCGCGTCCGCGTTATTTCCTCAGGCTGCGGTTCCGACAGTGTCCTCTCTCGGTATGCGTCATCGCCCGGCGCCGGGGTCTCCCGCTCCCCGTCATCATCTTCCGGTGCCGCCAGCGTCCTCGTTACCATGGCGCCGCCCGGGAGACGCCAAGCAACCCTGGCCGGCGCAGAGGCGGTGACGTCACAGGGCAGCCGGACCTCCTCCCCCTCCATGGCGATGACGCCGCCGGCATTCGGGTCGGGCGCGATAGCGACCCAGGAAGTAAGGTCATCGCCAGCGCTAAATATGGCGTCATCGGTACCGTTGAGAATAACGTCACCGTCCCCTTCGGTCCCCGGCAGTGTCCGCGAGACCCGCGCCTCGTAGGTCAGCAGCATGCGCCGGGCTGAAGTACGCTTCCGGTCAAGGCGCAGGCGGAAAAGGCGGGGCGCGCGTAGCCACACCCACTCTGGGGGCGTGGTCAGGTTTACTTGAAGCCCCGTGTTGTAGAGCGCTTCCCCATCATCCGGGTCCTGGGCATAGCAGGCAGTGGCGTCATCGCCCGCGAAGCTTCCGCGTTCAGTTATGGCTCCCAGCGACACGCTGACGTCACTATAGTAGGCCAGCAGCCGCCATGCCCGCTCGTGGGCGTCGCGTGTCACCTCGCAGGACAGGGCGAGCGTCATCGTTGCCTCCACGCTTAGTCTCGCCCCTTCTCCTTGCGGCTGTACCGCGAGCACATCTGTCATCTGTGGAGGCCCTGCCCCGCTTGGGTCACAGGCCAGCGTCACGCGGTTCCCGTGTGCGTCCGCTAGGTCCAGGCCGATGTCGAGGTTGCTGAGCGCCATGACGTCATCCTCATCTGCCATTACTTCTCCTTCCGGTCCGCGGGTCCTGTTCCGCAGAGGGGAGTATATGGCAGGGGTGGCGCAGGTGATGTCACCGGCTTCGAGGTCGCGCAGGTCCCGAGACAGGAAGTGGGCGGGGCCAGCACAGACGGGGCAGGAAATCCCGGCCTCTGCACCTTTGTCCTTCCGGCAGCGCAGAGCAGCTGAAAAGGGGGTGGGGCCAAAGTGAATTAATTGTGACTCCGCCCCTCAATCAAGCCCTCTTCTCCCAATCTCCGCCCCCTGACCTCTGATCCTGGCTGTCCATTCGCCAACCCAGGCTGCGCTTTCGCAGTTGCAGGCCCAGGGGTTCCCGTGAAGTGAAAGTGTCTCCAGCAGTGGTGCGGCTAGTAGCAGTGTGGGCGGAAGTGATGTCAATGCATTCCCAGCAAGCGACAGGTGCCGCAGTGTTGACACCCTGAAGGGGCTTCCAGCCCAGAAGTCCCGCCCCCCAAGGAGGTTGAGGGTTGCCAGCCCTCCGGGTGGCAGTGATGTCAGCGCGTTGCCCTCCAGTGTCAGCAGCCTCAGCGATGTCAGCCCCAGCAGTGCATTGGCGTCCAGTGACGTCAGGCGGTTGTGGTCCAGGTGCAGCCGTGTCAGTGCATGCGCACCACGCAGGGACCCTGACGTCAGCGTGTGCAGGCGGTTGTAGCTCAGTTTCAGGACCTGCGAGGTAAGGTGGGGCAGGTGGGCGACATTGATTAGCATTGGTGATGACGTCATCCTCACCAACTTTACTGGCTTAGCGCCTATGACATCATTGAGGGGAAGCAGTGACACCGTCACTCAGTCCTCTGCCAATGGTCTCGTATGCTGTGTTGTTGATGTCACGGCTTTGCCTTGGAGACGTCAGCGCTCCGCCCCTTTGTGACATCATAGCTGTGAAACCTTAAAAGACGTTTTCTCCTCCCTGTTCCTCTGGGGATGATGTCCCTGCTCTCCTCCTTTATGACGTCATCTCTGTGACCCTTAAGGATGACTTCATCCTGTTGAACCTTTCACAATACCGTGTGGTCCTTCTCTCCGTGGATGACATCATAGGTATAAATGCTTAATGATGTCCTCTAGTGCTCCATTCCCCTGGTATCATTTACCATCAGGGAGGCCTCACTTCAGGATTATTTAGAGCTATGATGTCACCAAGAGGTGGAGCAGGGACGCAGACGAACGAGGGCTGAAGGATGCCTGTGATGTCACAGACAAAGAAACCATGCAGGGGCCAAGTAATGACATCATCAAGACTTTAGGCCGAAGACATCATGAGCAGAGACTGTGACCCCCTGCTTCGTGCTTTGCTACCATGGCAAGGTGGAGGGCCAGAGAGGATGACGTCATAGCGAAGGGGAGGGGTGACAACACTGACATCACTGAGTATAAGGATGATGTCACAGATGGACGGGGACGACATCACGCACCTGCAGGGCTCCTAGATCACTCATGGCGCCGTAGGGAATTTCCTCAATCTCGTTCCCGTGCAGGAGGAGGAGGCGGAGCCGTGTTAGCCCCACCAAGGCAGAAACAGGAAGTGACGTCATGCCGTTGTACCTGGCAGAATGTGTGCGGGTGACTCACTTAGGAGGAGGGTAAAGGACTAAACCAAAGGAAGTACCCTGAGTGACTGACAGGGGAGGAGGAGGAGGGGGAGGGACTAAACGAGAGGACATGGGGTCTGCACAGGACATGCCCTGGGTGACTGACAGGGTAGGGGGAAGAGGGGGAGGGACTAAGCCAGAAGATATAGGGTCTGCACAGGAAGTGCTTTGAGTGACTGACAGTAGGGGGAGGGAATGGGAAGTGCTCTCGGTGACTGACAGCATGGGAGGTGGGGCCGGAAGTGGCCCGGCTACTCACCCCAGGTTGACCCTTTCCACACTCCGCGAAAGCCCCGCAGGAAATGATGTCAGAGACCGGAAGGTGCAGTGGACCTCACTGGGGACATAGCAGGCGCAGCGGGCCGGGCAGGGCGGGACTTCCTGTTCCGCTTCCACATCCAGGGCCCCCAGCAGCAGGAGGAGAAGCACGGGGTGAATGCTCCACCCGCAAGGCATCCTGCGTGGAGCAGGACCAAAACACTCGTCAGTCACAATCCGGGTGATGTCACCGCAGTCCAATGAATGACACCTGTCAGTGACGTCACCGCTGTTTGCAGTTTGGGGCGATGATTGACAGACATCTCGGCCACGCCTGTAATATGACGTCACTGCCATTTTGGTGCCGCGTCCACTTGTAATTTTTCTCAGCGAGATTTTCTTTCATTTCGGGGAAATTTTGGGTTTCTTTTCTCTTTTTCTCGCCGGCCCCCGCGGCGCCACTGCCCCGCCCCCACCCAGGTTTTTTTCATTTAAATTCCAGGCAGGCTGTTTCTGCTGACACCGCGCGATTTATTTTCCGCTGAGCGGGGGAGAGAGATTTGTCCCGAGAGATTTTTTTTTCCGAAATTTTCCGATTTTTTAAAAATTTTCTTTTTGAA